CTTCTTCATCCAAATCGCCATGCAAAAAGGCGTTATCTACGTCCATCTGGTGTAACTCCCATTGCCGACAAGACGCAACTGCCATAATGGTCCGTACAGTGACCATCTTTGCTACGGGAGCAAAGGTTTCATGATAATCAATACCCTGCACTTGTCGGTTCCCGCAAACCACCAAACGAGCCTTATACCTGTCAAGACTTCCATCACTTTTGTATTTAATTTTAAATACCCACTTACAAAAGATAGGCTTTTTGCCGGGCGGCAGCTTCTGAATGGTCCATGTTCCATTGCGCTCCAGCGCATCAACCTCCCGTGTCATCGCCTCTCGCCAGTTAGGGTCACGTATTGCCTCATTATAAGTCGTTGGTTCTTTGATAGTAGAGATAGCTGCAAGAAAAGCACGGTGCGGAACAGAAAAACGATTATATGTTACATAATCAGAAAGAGGATAAGGCTTACCAGAAGAGACCGACGGAGAAGACAGAACGACAGATGAAGTATTAATTTTCACGGTATTTAACTGGACTTCATAATCTGAATGCCACAAAGGTTTCTGCCTTTCACGAGTTCCCCGTCGTGCCCCATGCGGCAGTGCATTACTCTCATGCAAACCCATGTTCTGATGTGCTCCATCATGTGAATTATTCTCATTATGTGAGTCTTCGGTGAACCCATCATCTGCATGTCCAGCACTTGCCATTCCATCCGTTTGAGTGTCAGCATAAGTATGATTATTAAAGTCTCCTGCCATACTCGAATCCCATGAGAAAAATTCCTCCTTTTCATCCGTAGGTTGACCACCCACATTCATGGAATCTTGTGCTTCGTCATCACACGTCCCGTCCAATTTTCTATAAGGAAATTCGGTCTCCACAAATTGCAAATCCCGGGAAACAAAATGACGATTATTATCCAAATCAAACATTTTTCAACCCTTTTGAGAATGAGCATACCCAAGAAAAACACATCTCACACTCCTTGACCCAAATTTATCATGCACATTAGGAGCACACGTGCATAAGACAAACATCCAAAAACCTTTAAATGGCCATAAAGTGGAGCCTTGTTATATAACACTTCGTAGGGACTTTTGTGAGCTAGTAACGGAGTAGGCAACCGATTAATTAAATAACCGGCTGCCAAAACACACTCACCCCAAAATTCAAGGGGTAGGTTTGCATGAAACCGCAGTGTCCGTGCCATTTCTAATATGTGTCTGTGTTTACGTTCCACCCTACCATTTTGTTGTGGAGTATACACACACGAGGTTTGATGAATGATGCCATTATCAAGAAAGTAATTTTTCAGCTTCAAAAATTCCGTCCCATTATCACTCCGCACTATCTTGATATTTTTATCAAATTGACGTTTGGTCATGGCACAGAATTGTTTAAAAATACTTGTTACTTCATCTTTAGAGATCATCAAGTGTACCCAAACAGCCCGTGAAAAATCATCAACAATAGTCAAAAAATAATGAGCACCACACGTAGATGGTATCCGATAGGGACCCCACACATCACAATGCACTAACTCAAAAGGTTCAACAGCTCTAGTATTATTAATTTGAAAGACTTCACGAGTCTGTTTCCCTCTCAAACAAGCATCACATACTTTATTCGACTCATCTACAGATCCGAATTTATTAAAACCAAAAACATAATTCACCACTTTTGAGGACGGGTGTCCTAATCGGGAGTGCCACAAATTGCTCGTATCTTGCTTCCTGACTTGATGAGCTGTTATTGTGTCCACACCGTGAAAATAATATACTCCGTCTTGTCGTCTACCCGCTCCAATCAGCGTCCTCGTAGGCAGGTCCTGTATCACACATAACTGATTAGTAAAATATATATCACATTTCTGGTCATCAATTAAACGTGCTATAGATATAAGATTACACTTCAGACCAGGAACCAACAAAACTTTCCTAAGTGTAATGTGTGAACTTAATTTCACAATTCCCATACTAGTTGCTTGTGTGATTTCTCCGTTAGGCAGAATTACTGACACGGGTGGCAATACTTCCCTTTGCACCAATAAATTTGCACAACTAGTCATGTGGTACGATGCACCCGAGTCCAGCAACCATTTAATATTAGAATCCTTGCCAGTCAATTTTTCAGAAGTAGCAATCATCTTACTCTTCTCTAGAAGTTTCACGAGGCCCTTCCACGGTTCAGTGTGGCTATTGCCTACATCGGTCGTCATGGCTTCAGTCGATGTACTCCGTAGGAATACTCAGGCCTCAACTTCGTCGATCACAGGTTCAGGAGTAGGAAGACCCGCTCTGATACCATGTAAAATTCTTATGCGAAAGAAACGTATGTTTATTCGGTAATCTCGAAGTGTACATGCGTATACATTTATACAATTTGAAGTAGTCTACGTAACTAATGATGAGAGCTACAGCTGTACATCCACTATACATGCAAATAAATAGGAGATAAACTCCAACTAAATTATCCTACGTAGACCAAAGAATAAAAAATAATACAATATAATAAAATTTTCTACAGCCACACACGTATACACCAACAAAGAATTATGCTAAAAGATTGGATTATTAGTTTCCATTATCTTAAAAACGGCATAAAAGAAATTGAACATCCTCTTGGATTAATGAGTACTTGTGAATAAAGTTACACAAAAAAACCGGCATAAATTAAGTAAAAATAATTAAATCAGGAGTAATACGTGTTGCTGTGTGGTCTTCTTTGTTCCCTATTAGATTCATATTTTTGAAAAAAATGTACATAACAATTAGGATGTTGTTGGCGAAGGTGCATAGATGTGCGTATTATGTTGCGAATGTTTCGTTGACTTCAAAATATTCGTTGACTCTTAACCTTCCAAATTGCATTTCAAGTTTCCAAAAAGACCTTATTTATGTCCTTCGATTGTGCCGTTTGCCGATACGCACTATAGAGTTGTCGGCTGTCCTAACCAAAAGTCAACCAATTTCTCTCCCAAAGAAGACTTTGAGGCTTTTACTGTGTAAAATGCAATGAGATTTCTTGGAAAATAAATGTAGTGACAATTATCAAATATAAGGTCAACTTTGGACTGTTTTTAACTTTTTGTTTGCGCCAGCTTTCTCTCATTGGAAATTTTGTCATGGGTAATTGAATGTTGTCTTTTGAAGAACTAAAATTCCTTTTTTCACAAATATGAGGTGCAGAATGGTAAATGTGTCTCTCTTTTGACCCTATTAAAAATTTAAAATGATAAATGCAAGTAACGGGTAAAGTACAAAATTTATGAACTGGAAACACGGATAAAGTACAAAATTTATGAACTGGAAACTGAAATCATCCAGTGAAGCAATCTCGAAAAAGCTGTTGTTTTTTAACATTTCAAATCTTTAATAAGTTTTAAATAATAAAAAACATTGGACTAACCATACAGAGTATTAGAAATTTTATCAATATACATAATTACATACTATGTGTGTCCACAAATTATAAAATAAATCAACAAAATAAAAACGCTCTGTATAACTAGTGATGGACCCGGGACGGGCCTAGGCCCAGTCGGGATTTTGAAGGTTGGGGAAGGCCCGGAACCGATCCGGGTTTCCACCGGGTACGGGTCGGGCCGGGCCTCGGGCCGTTTTTTGGCTTTTCTAATTAATCCCCGACCGCCGCCCCCCCTCACCCCCAAACCACCCCAAATGACCCAAAACACCCAGCCCAACCCGGAAAAATAAAAAAAAATTGAAAAAAAAATGAAAAAGCCCGAACCGCGCCGGTTCCATATTTCGGTGAACCGAGCTCACCCTACATAACCTCCGGGCCGGGCCTACTCGAACCGGGCTCTGGCGGGCCACCGGGCCAGGCCCAAATAGTATCGGTCCCGGGCCGGGCGGCCCGACCCGAGTCCATCACTATGTATAAGATACCAAGAACTGTTATGGAGTGGTATAACATAGAGATGGACTGGGACGGGTTGGCCCGATCTGGTCCCGGTACTGTTTAGGCCACACCCGTCCTGTTTAGGCCCGGAAGCGGCCCGGTGGCTATAAGGGCGGGCTTCGATCTCGTTTTTAGGTCCGACCCGGCCGGCCCCGATTGCACTATATTTTTTTATTGCCCAAGACCATCCCGACCCGGTATTGTTTAGGGCCGACCCGGTCCCGGTACAAAGCCGGAATGGTACTAGGCCTGAAATTTTTAGTCCCCCCAGCTTCGGCCCCGGGCCGGTCCATCCCTATTCCCTAATATAACATGCTTTTAGGTAGGGGTGGACTGAGCGAGCCGAACCGGCCCATGAACCGGACAGGGACCGGTTGGCCAGTTCCAGGATTTTAGCCCGTGTGGGCAGGTCGGGCTCGGGCCCTCTTTTTGTTGAACCGGCCCAGGCGGTTCGGGCCGGGCCCGGTTCATTTTTTTTTTTGGTTTTTCATTTTTTTTCTTTTCCTAGGGTAGGGCTGGGTGTTTTGGGGAGGTTTGGGGGGTGGGGGTGAGAGGGTGGGGGGTCGGGGGATAACAAGAAAGCCAAAAAAAATTAAACATTGAACCGGGCCCGGCCCGGCCCGGCTCGGACCCGGTATCAACCCGGGTCGGTTCCGGGCCAATGTAACTGGAAAAAAAGCCCGCCTAGGCCCAGGCCAGAACCTGACCGGCCCAGGTCCATCCCTACTTTTAGGGTGTTAAACTCTTGAGTATTCATATGTTTTTAGATTGAAATTTGCTGGTCTAATCTGTTTAAATTTAGTATGATAAAAGTGTATGATCTCTATACTTATTTTCCGATTATTCAAAAAATATATGGTAAAAACTGGCCTGAAAGCGCAAGATTTAAAAGCCACTATGCGTATACCTTATGGTGATGCAAATAAGCCAGGTCACAAGAACTAAGGTTGATGAAAAGGGGCAAACCAAGAGAGGGAGGGAAGAAGTTTAAAAACGCTTAAATTTTAATTTTACTAACATGTATGTAAACCCAATTTGAACAACAAAAAGCAAACAGTTTCTCATTAACCAATCTTTTCTCTATACACCCTTCCCCACACCCTCCCCGTGCCCTCTATCTCTCGCTTCTCCAACCCTAATACATCCTTGACATGCCAAACTGAATTGTCCCTACTTTGCTATGAGCAGCAGCAGCACTGGCAGCAACACCAATCCCTCCACCATATTGACCTTTAGCCTGTTGCAGCAAATTGGTGTCGATGCTGATTCCATCACTAACATGATCTGCTTTCTTCATGCCACCTCGGGTTGCATAGAACGGGCTGCTATCAATGGTGATAGCAATATCAGGTGCCAACTTCGCAGCCATACCACAATGAACCATTTGCTATTTCATTTGTGTAGATGACAGCTCATGAGTCTCAGCTGTTGCGGGCCTTTCCTGCTTAGCTGCCCCACATCTCGGATAACCATACACTGATGTCATTATCTGTGCGGTCTTGACTAGATTCCCAGTGTCATATGGCAAGATTGGAGAGCCCACAACCTTTCCTGGTTTTGCTGCTGAGGTTCCAAGTACACAATAAGAGAATGCCATAAAAGATATAGCATGGATCAAATGAATGACAGACAAGGATACCTGGGTAAATCCTCTGTTGTGACTGCAAGGTTCTTGGCAGACCCCCATCCGGTCCTCTGTAGTTTCTATTGCATGACAATTCCTCCCCGTTTTGCTGGTCTTTTGAATTAGTTTGTTTCTTAGGAAGAGTTGTAGTAGAATGTATAACCGAAGACCTGTACAGATAGTGCATTAAAACCACATCCAAAAATGTTCAAATTATGCAATAAATTCATCATAGATGCAGTAGTGTGGGCACATTCACGTAATTATGCATACAAGCCAAAAATCACCAATTACACACCTAGGAAGAGATACATGTTTTCTCTCTGCTGGAGGTATTGGCCCAGCTTTACCACCATTTTCTTCCAGGTGAGCAAACTGTTTCCGAAATTGATCAACAGCGCTGAAAAGATAGCATGGTTCAACCACATTGGTGCCTTAAATAAAAAGCCAATTGAAAAAGATTGCCAGCTTGTACCTTGGATATAAAAAGTTGGCTCTTTCTCCATTCATGTAATCTTTTCTAAGCTGAGGGTGATATTCTAGTATCTCCCTGAATATTAATTCTCTTACGTCCTCCTTTGTCACCTTTCGCCTCTCAAATTCAAACTCCAGTTTAGAAATCGGGTGGCAAGATGGTTCCCTCTCAGATTTAGCAAGTCCTCTGAAGTATGCATCAGCCAGTGCCTGATATAAGACAAAAGAGAAGGTTCAAGAATCATATTTAATTTCTTAATGTAATACAGCGGTCATGATGAAAGAAACAAAAGTAACGGTCTGTTTGGAAAATGGAGGACAATTGTAAGGAAAGATAATTTGAGAGGATATAAAAGATAGACTCAAACTAAATAAATTTATTCTACATATTTATTTAGACATTTCTGTTTTATGATAATACAAAAACTAAACAAAATTAATATGGTATTAAAGCTGATTAAACTTCAACGAGTAATTACATCCCCGCATGTAAACTTATATGACAATGGTGAATCAATTGATTTATTTACTCTTTACTAACAAAATTTGTCTAGATAATTCGAAGCCCGGTCCTGACATTTTATAGGTCTTAAGCCATTTTAAATAAATACTCTGAATGTTTCGAGCAAGAATTCTCAACTGTACCATTCTTTGATGGATATTTCATGTAAGTTGAAGACATTTTTAAGTAATCAAGGGCTTAGATCACTTCTCACTTTTCATGGGAAGACCTCTTTGTATTAGAACTCACCCCTATATAATGGGTTTAAGAGTAAATATGCTCTTAATTGTATGTGAGAAGACCAGCAACGGGAACCATCACGGGCCAAATTGCATTCACCATATGGTCCATATAAAACTACAGATTTTTTGCCAATATGACGAGGATAATGTCATATTGACGTGTCATCATATAATAATTTGATTGGCTTAAAAAGTCATGCACACCGGTACCACGTAAATTTAATGAGGTACCGTAGCAATTTCCTTAAAAAAATTGACAGTAAAAAAAGTATCTTATACCCGTCTTAATGGGAAGGACTACTATTCTCCGTTTTAATGGTTAAGTCAATTTTTTTTAGTGAATAGTTAAATCATGCTTCCAATTAAATCGAAAGTTAACAACCCTTGAGTTTATTTTGATTTTTCATCACATTATATATGATTCCAGAAAAATCACATTTAAAATTGGCTAAATTACGTATTGTCCGTGCACGGGCTTGAAAACTAGTGGTTAATATTCAACAATACGAACGCTTGAGTGTGGATCTTTTTCTTTTCATATGAGTAACCTAATACGTAATATGTGTGTAGATATGCTCAGTAAACAAACATGTATACAATATACATGCCCATACCATAATCCTTTGGGAAAGTTCCCGAAATAGGACTAAAAAAGTTTGAAAATTCCGAAATAGGATTGTCATGTTTTTATTCCCAAAATAGGACTAATTATTGCCAAATTTGGAAAATACTGCCATGTTTGAAGTCTGGTACAGTCAAAACAGGACAGTGATTAGTCCTATTTTGGGAATAAAAACATGGAAGTCCTATTTTGAAAATCTCAAGCTTTTTTAGTCCTATTTTGGGTAATATCTGTAATCCTTTTTGTTTACAAAAAAAAAAGTACAAATGCTTGAAATAGTTTAACCTTATTCATGTGAAATACGTAAATTAGTTTTCTAAAAGTCGGGCACAAAGTTTAGTTGTTCAAGACTTCAAGTTATTCGTGTGGTGAAATCCCCTGCAAGGAAAAACTTGCACGAAATTTGACCTCATACGTACTTAATTGGTAGTATACCTGTAGTAGCTCTCCATTTATATTCCTAAGTTTCTTCCATTTTAACTTAAATGAGCTTATTCTTGCTATGCATGACAAATTAAATGGATATAGTTTCCAAGAAAATACCCCCGTTCCCTTTTAAATGTCCCGGAAGAAAGTGGCACGAGTTTTAAAAAAAGTAGGTTTGTGTGTTTGATATTAATTGATAAAATAAGAATAAAGTAAGAATGATTTTGAGGCACACAAACCTTATCAAATAATAAGGTATGAGACAATTAAATAGGAACGTTCCATTGTTAGTGATCACAATTGTGCATTTTCTTTTAATCTTTTTACAGTCAATTTGGATAGTATTTTTTTGCCACTTTCGTAGTTAAATATCTAACTTTACGTGAACGTAGATATCCTACTCTGTCTATATTTTAATTTGCAATGTTGATTAACGTTTATATAAATGTTGTGATGAAAGAGCTATGTATATCCCAAAGAAAAATTATATAGAATAAGTTGAAATTAATATCTTAAATGACTTGTTGATCAAGGCCGGTGTTGATCATCGAAGAGGAGAAAACTTCACGAATTGACTATCAAATTGACTGGTTCTAACTTCAAAGTTTTGGGTCTCAAATAAGTCATATATTAAGTTATTTGTCTAAGTGCATGTCATATTAACTCCATCCCCAAGTTTGTATTTGATGCAAAATAAGAAAAGGTCATATTAACTCCATCCCCAAGTTTGTATTTGATGCAAAATAAGAAAAGTAAACATTGTTCGATTGAGATTTGTGCAAAAAAGAGAAAAATAAACAGAATAACAAATTATTTATTTAAGGGGAAAACATCAAAGTTTGTAAGACAAACAAAAATTGAAAATTGGTGAAATCACACAAACATTTCTATTGTATTTAGCTTCGGTCACCAGCTCAACAAACAATAACTTCACAGTTCACACTTAATGACCATAGAATAGCATTTGTAACATGAAAGTACCAGCATCTCAAATTCTGAATATAGCATGATAAATATCGGCGTCACAAACACTCCCAAGAATTGAATTCAGGCGGACCATGAAAAAGTTTCACATAAAATTAAAGATGCGAACAATAAAAAGAAATTGAACATCAGGGGCGGACCGCCCCCAACAACAAAAATTTTTAGTGTATATATATAATAAATAATAATTTTCGCTCTCCCAAAAAATATTTTGTTTAAGTTACCGCCCTCCCAAGACAAACTTTCTGGATCCGCCCCTGTTGAACATCCTCCTGGATTAAAATGAGTAGCTGTGAACAAAGTTACACAAAAAAATCTGCATAAATTAAGTAAAATATTTAAATCAGGAGCAATATATGTTACTGTGTCTTTTTGGTGCACATTAGATTCATCATTTTGAAAAAAATGTACTCCGTACATAATAATTACTCCAAAGTAATTAAATCAGGATGTTGTTGGCGAAGGTACATAGATGTGCGTATTATGGTGCGAATGTTTGGTTGACTCCAAAAATTTGGTTGACTCTTAAATAACCTTCCAAATTGCATTTCAAGTTTCCAAAAAGACCTTATTTATGTCCTTTGATTGTGCCGTATGCCGGTACGCACTATAGAGTTGTCGGCTGTCCTAACCAAAAGTCAATCAATTTCTCTTCTAAAGAAGACTTTGAGGCTTTTACTGTGACAAATGCAATGAGATTTCTTTGGTACATTGGAAAAGAAATGTAGTGACAATTATGGTAATTGTCATGGTAATTGAATGTTGTCTTTTGAAGAACTAAAATTCCTGTTTTTCACAACTATGAGGTGCAGAATGGTAAATGTGCCTCTCTGTTTTGACCATATTAAAATTTTAAAGATGATAAATGCAAGTAACGGATAAAGTATAAAATTTATGAACTGGAAACCGAAAGTATCCAGTGAAGCAATTTCGAGAAAAAGCTGTCGTTTTTATAAGATTTCAAATCTTTATTGAGTTTTAAATTTAAAAAAAAACACTGGATTAATCATATTAGAAACTTTATCACTGAAACTATGTATGTCCACAAATTTTAAAATAAATTTACTAAATAAAAATAGGGATGTGCATAAATACCGAACCGACATGGTATCAAACCGGACATGCATGGTGCCGGAGTTTGAAACGGATCTCAACGTTTTTATCCTGAACCGGACCGTACCGGTTCCAAAAAATGTCATGATCGGTTCTGAGAACCGGTACCAGATCGAAGTATGATTTAATTATTTATATTTACATTTATCCTATTACTTTGATTAGTTCCCTAACACTTTCACGACCTTTGCTAGTTCACTGAAAGCTTGGAACCGGACAGAGGTATAGTTTAATTATTTAAATTTGTACTAATATAATTTATCTAAAACTTATTAATTATTATGTAATATGGAAATTGATAGATTGTGTACGGAGGGTGGCTACCTTTTTTTCCTTATAAACACTTGAAAAAAAAGTGATATTGTTTGGTATTGGTATGATATGATACCGTACCATTTGAAATGGAACCGTACCGAACGGGTATGAGTACTTATCGAACTGTTTCAATAACCACAGAACGGGTACGGTTCCACAACCCATGCCACCCCTAAATAAAAACGTTCTCCGTAGTATATAGGCTAGGTTTGGCAGGCATAAGTAGGGGTGGACTCGGGCCGGGCCAACCGGCCCGGAACCGGACCGGCCCGCTACTGTGCGGGCCCGGACCGGCCCGGTCAACCGGTTGGTCAACCGGTTCGGGCCACCCGGCCCGGAGGGATACCGGTTCGGGCTCGGGCCCTGATTTTGGCGAACCGGCCCGGCCGGTTCGGGCCCGGTCCGGGCCGGATTTTAATTTTTTTTTTTTTTTTTTTGAAATTTTTTTAAATTTTGGGTTGGATTAGATATTTTGGGCCATTTGAGGTGGTTTGGGGTAGTTTGGGGTTGAGGGGGAGGGGTAGGGGGTTAAAAATGAGAACAAAAAAAAAAAAAAAAATTAAGTTGGGCGGTTCGGCCCGGCCCGGCCCGGCCCGGTTTGGCCCGGAACCGGAACCGGAACCGCCCCCTGGCGGTTCGGGCCCGGGCCCTATATTTCTGGCCCGAGGCCCGGCCGGGCCCAGGCCCGAACCGGGCCCGAACCGGCCCGAGTCCACCCCTAGGCATAAGTCTCTGACTTCTAGCTTTTGTACTGTTCAAAAAGTCTTTAAAAGCTTCTAGTTATATGTTTGGCATGACAATTTTTAAGAGCTTTTAAAAAAATAAAAGATCTTTTTTGAGATGCTACAGGCAGTAGCATCTGAAAAAAGCTCGTGACTTTTAGTATTAATTAACCCTAACAGCTTGTATACCAAACCAAACTAAATCAAACAATCAGCTTTTTATCAAACAACTACCACCTTTTCCTTTAAAGATCTTATCAGTCATCAAAAGGTAACAGTTATTAA